CTCTGCTCATTATTATTTTTACTCCTAAAATATCACTACTATTTTGATCAATAAAAAACTATATCACAACTATGATAATATGTATATATTAACTATGTTTCAGTTGAATTTATGAACTGTTACAATTGACCCCCGTAAGTGGAGACAATTGTAACAAGTGCACGACTGTCAAAAATTATTAATAACTAATATAATAACATTTAAAATAAGGTATTTTTTTTCTAGTAGAGGATAGTCTACTTTACTCGTCTGTCAATTAATACTAATAATATACTGGATTTTTTGTTAGTTAAAAATAGTTAAGTAAAAAATTTTACAATTGACTCCACTCTCCCCTACTAATTAAAATAACAATATAACGAGAATACAATTTATATTGTTATTGACACATTATTTACAGCTACTAGAATTGATACATTATTTACGGCTACTTGTGATTCTAATTTTATGTTCTAAAATCAGTTCAAAATTTACAGTTAATGCGGGAGTACCTCTATATTCACCGGGATGTGATCCATAGAGACCGCCTTATGTATACAGGATGTTCTGCAGTAGTTTCTTTTAATATATGATCAACAACTCCCAGTCAACAACTTAAAACTAATGAACTTCAAAGAGCACAAATTAATATTTAGTTCAGCAAATGATGAAGACATCATTAAAATTTATCCAATCACAGCTGAGAAAGCTGTAACCGCAAACATCAGAACGTGTTGGATAATGTGAGGAAATAGAAAGGAAAGGAAAAGAAAAGTGGAGACAAAAAGAAACGAAACACCTGCAAGTTTCTTCAAGCAATCAAACTGCCTTTGATTATATATCCCGCCTACTTCCCTAGCAATCTGATTTCGATAGCGTTTTTGTTTCTTTCTCGTTTAATTTGCGTTTTCTTATTGACAAGGATTCTAAATGCATCTAAGGACGTTGACTACCAAGCATGCTAATTCAGAAAGTTAAAAATATTATTTTAGCAGAAAACGAAAGAAAAAAAATTTAAGATATGTGTGTTATTTTTTTTTTTTTTTTTTTTTTTTTTTTTTTTTTTTTTTTTTTTTTTTTTTTNTTTTTTTTTTTTTTTTTCGTTTTCTGCTAATTCTTTTTCGTTTTCTGCTAAAAATTGTTTTGTTTTCTGATGAAAAAAATTGTTTTTTTCGTTTTCTGCTAGAATAGTATTTCTAAATTAAAATAAAACAAATTTGGTTTCAGCTGCTTTAAGCGCTTTTCCATTTTGATTTATTATTTAAAATGTTATTTACTTATTTTGTCTTATTCTGAATTTGTTTAAACCAGTTTCATTCCTTGATTAGATTGAAACTTTCTATTTTGAGAATCCTTGTAAAAAATGTAGTCAAAAAATTATATATCAATAGAGTTTTAAATTAAATTTTAAGAAGGAAAACAACGAAAAGACTTTTAAACTTTGATGAATCATTACTGAGGTTGGTACAGTTTGCTAGTAAGATTTAAAAGGATTCGCCTTTCGATAAGAATTGTCTTTTAGTTTAATTCTTAAATTAGCTGATTTCAAAATACTTTAATTAATCCTTTCATCTTATTAACCACAATAGTGATGGGTCAGAGTTTGAAAACGTTTTTTCCGCACTCAATTAAATATTAATTAACAACCTTTGTGTTTAGTTTATTTTTAATTTATTTATTCACTATATCTTATGCAACATGCGTAAACCTTCCTAAGTAGACCAAGAAACGAATTAATCTCATATAAAAGAGAACAAAACCTTAGTAACGTGACTAGAACACCTGTCTATCTTGTATGTTGACTGCTGAAATTAGTCAAATTTGTCTAGCAGTGTAATTGAATGCTGTTTTTTATATCCTTTATAAATTGACTGAAAAACAAAAACTTTCTAAGAAAAGTTTCTAAGCTATTATATTAGAATTTTACTGCATTAGTAGAATAGTATTAAAAGATTACCTAAACCTCTTTGTGAGTTGATCATAGAGATAAATATTAAGGGTTTTTGTAAAAAATAAGTAAGAACGAGTAAAAAATAATAATTTTAAATGGAAATAAACATGATGTTCTATTCTTTCTAATATTTTCCTATATGCTCTTGTGTACTAATATTTTAAGAAATTATTTGTAATGAATGCATAGCGTATATCACAAACGAAATATACTAATCAGTTTATTAAATTTAGGTTATTAATCACATTCCTTAAGATACATGCAGTTAAAAAAATTTACATTTATCTTTATTTTTTGAATAATCGAACATAACAGTAACACGAATGACAGGATATTAGAAAAAATACGGTGGAAAAAATATTAACTCAACAAGTTGAATATCTACCCAACTTGATACTTGATCTCAATAGCATGCATCGTAATTGGTCAGCTTACACAGGTTTCACTGCAATTGTGGGTTAATTGAATCAAGTGCCATATTATTTTATATAGTACATCTTTATGAAAATTTTTAATTCCTCGATCACTTATTCACTTTTTAATTTATAATTTAGCTTTGTGTTTTACATATTATGCAATTTCAGGTTGATATTAGAAGTTTTACACTTTTATGAAGAAAACAAATTAGAATTTTGCAACGATTATTTAAACAAACTTACTTTTCTGTACCAGTCATAATCTTTTGAGCCTGGCCTGCTAACAGCTGCCCAGCTGTGACGATTGAAGGCTGGAGGCATGGTATAAACCTCAAAAAGTTCATCATTGGGCAATTTATTCACAGGTGGTTTCTTTTTAGACACATAATACGCAGATTCCTTCGGGCTAACGTCAGGCATTTTTGGTGGTAGTTTTTCAGTTTGAACTAATTTGTTAGAGTTATCATCGGTGTTTGTTAATCTCAGGGGTACGATACTTTTGGGTTTTTCTATTGATTCTTTGGTAGCATTTCTGGTTTTTTGAACACTTTTTGGCGAAAACGATTCGGCTGCTTTTACAGTTGCACTATTGCTATTGGGTTCCTTTTGCGTTTTTGGTAGTATTGGAGAATTATTTGTATCTTTTTGACGACGCCAATTGTCTTTGCAACACATATGTAAATTCGTTGGTAATTTAGAATAATTTCTTTCGAAGTTTCGATACGAATTTACTACGGTTGTCTCTTTTTTAGAGTTGGAGGAATCTCTCAAGCTGTTGCGTAAATTATCATCGAAATCGGTGACAACTTTATTCTCTTCGTTGGTGTTAGAATCTACTAGTTCAGTCAGACTTAAAGTTTTGTATCCATTCACAAAAGTGAAGTTATTCAATCTAATACCATCGCCAAGAGTCCAGTATTTATTGGTGGTATCATCGCAGTGTTCGTCAAAAGAATCATTTACAATCCACGCACTGATATCTCGATTTTTTAAATACCTTTTACTACTTCTTGCTTCACGAGGATAAGTGTTACCTTTCTTTATTGATATAGGTTTGCTTTCTCTACGAGGCCTGGAAGTGATAGGATTAACTCTTATGTCCACTTGGACATCTGGCTGAGCTGTTATTTCCACAAGACAGCGGTCGCTTGGGATTCCAGATACGACAGGCTCCTGTTTGGTCCTTCTTTTCTCGAATGTTATTTCAAGATTTCTAGTGGCAACAGTTCCAAATGAACTCCCACTGCTAGGTATAACGTGATCCTCCTCAGCACTTTTTATTATTTTTCCTACAGGCAGAACATCAGGTAATACCACTTGACCACGTGATGGTCCGGCTAAAGAAGGCGACGACGCAGCTGAAGAAAAGGACATCCAAGAAGACTGCATGGATGGTGCACCCACGCTCGCCATTTCCTCTTCGTCGTCATCGCCATTATTATTATTGATATTATTGCATCCATCCAACATTTCTGAGCCGCTACTGCTACTGCTACTACTACTGTCTTCAGACATGTCTGAGTCAAAGCTGGCATCGCTGTTTCCCAGACTACTCACATCCAGTAAAGGACTGGTGTCGCTGAAACTGGCGCTGCTTTCATCGTCTGAGCTGGAATCACTGTCATCTGAGGACATAGCTCTATAAGTGCCATCCACGTATGAAGCAATATCTTCTGATAGGGAAGCCACGTTTGTGTCATCGGTGGTGTTGTTTTCGTTGAAACCTATTGGATTGTTGTTGTTGTTGAGGAAGGCATCTGGACTCTCTTCCAGATGATTCCATCCCTTTTGATACCTGTTTAGGTTAAGGAAATAAAAAAAAAACTCTTATAGTCTAGCAAAATTTGAATAAATTATTTATAAGTTGTAAAAAGCTATAAAACCATAAATCTCACGCATACATTTTCACACTTTATTTAAAAGAAAATGAGTATAGGTTAATTAGCAGAACAGCGCATTCTCGCAATAGCCCATTGTGGTCTAGAGGTTAGTGAAAGTTAAGGTTCCACAATTTCATGACTAACGGTATGACGGTGGCAATGTGAGCAGAATTGCGCATCCACCGCATTTATTCCCCATGCAGGCTTGTACAAATCAATCAGAAGCTGGGTGAGCTTCAAACCGCCACCAGGGATCTAACCTTAATCCTTTACAGTAACAGCTCTGGTACTTTAGCTCTGAGCCTTCACGGCTCACAGGTTAAAAATCTCTTAGTTACAGGAAATAATTTAAATCATTGGAAAATAAGATTTATTTATTTATTTTGAATAAATTTTGTTTTAAGAGTGTAATAATTATATAAAACATTCCTATAAATATGATATTTTGATAAAATAATAATCTTCTTTAAAAATGGACCGCAAGAATGCAGATTTTATTTATGTACATATTTTTTTTTCTATTTTTCCTTTTTCCACTTTTGTCTGTCTTTTACATTTCTTTCGTCCTTTTTTTCTGTCTTTTAAATTTTTTTTCCCTCTTTTCCATTTTTTTTATTTTTTTCGAAACTTGACATTACGTCATAATGAGTTTTTGGAAAATATATGTATAATAGTTACATATCAGTATTAAATGTTCACATAATAATCATGAAATATTAAATGTTCACATAATGAAATATAACTTCTTTGAAACAATATTTATGATTAATTAGACAGCTTTGGCATTTAAACACTACCATTTTAATTTGCTATTTCGAAAGAAGAAATACAACCATAGATTTGCTATCTTCGTAATCTCGAAAACCCTAATATTGATAATTATTAGGCCTGGTTAGCCTGGTTGGTAGGGCACTGGACCCATGTTCATGGGTTCGATCCCCGCCAGCCGAAGACGGTAGTAAATGGTGACTGATGCACGTTAAATCTGTCAAGTTCTCCATGTTCTCATAACAAATCAATACCTTTGGGGGTACAGATCAAGGGTTTTCCCTGTTTTCTGGATTGGTTCAAAATTACAAGGCTACGGAGTTGAACATTAGCAGTCGTAAACCCAAAATTGGGTCACCCGTTCAACGACGGATATAAAATATAAAATGAAATATTTATAGTTATTAGAAAATAAAATTGAAGAATAAGTTTCGGCCTGCTTTTTCCGAGTACAGAACACAGCGTGTATCTAAAGAAAGCATTCTTTGTTAATTTCAGGATAACTCCATTTCAGTACCTCCGCTGCATCAATTATGGTACTTGCACTGTACTATGCAATCATTGTGACTATCTGGGGTGGTATTCTCAGTGGCGGCATGAAGCTCTCCTAGCTTTGGAACGATGGGTACTAGCTTGTTTAGGAAATAAAGGTGGTTTGTGCGCAATGCCATCCACATTCTCCCAATCAGACAAATGTTAATTGATTAAAAACTTTATTCGCTTCAAAAATATACGAATTGCAAATAAAAGTCGAAATTTTTCAAGCATTCAAAAACAGGCGTCCATTTTCAAGACTTGCCAGACGTGAATGAGAAGAAACAAAAGTGATTTAAAATAAAAAAAAAAAGCTTAAAGTTGCCAATGAAGAAAGGAAAAATAAAGGTGAGAAACAAAACTAGAAAAAACACAGTTTCCGAGAGAGAAAATAAGATGAAAAATAGAATTAAAAAAAAAAAAAAATCCCACGATGGCCAAGGGGGTACTTGTTCTGTTTTTCATATTTTTATTCTCTCGGCTAAGTTGGATTTTTTTTTTTAGTTTTTCTCACCTTTATTTTCCATTTTTCGTTGTCTACTCTACATTTTTTTTAATATTTCAAATCACTTTCGGTCCTTCTCATTCACGTCTGGCGGCAAGTCTTGAAAATTAGCTGCTGTTTCTGAGATCTTGAAACATGTCGACTGTTATTTCAAATTAGTATATTTTTTGAAGAGAATGAAGGTTTTAATCGAGTAATATCTAACCACCTCAGTTTCTTGAGATTATTTATTTAATTTGATCAGACAAATGGTTCCGAAATTGTAAAGCCTTAACTTACTGTCACACCAGGTCCACAACTGATGGTTCCAAAAATGTATTATTTTTTATAGTACTGAAAGGGCTGTATTTTTTAAAATACAAATAATATTTTGCTTGTGTTTCATATATTGTTTTATATTTTATTATAATATTTCAGTTTTTTCTATGGACACTACTTGTTTAATATTTGTTTCATAACACATATTTTTAGAAAAACCTTTTTAGCTTGTGTTCATACTACATGTTTACACATTTGAAATAACTTATCCGGATCATCCTCAGGGATGTTTTCCAGACCGCCGCTAAAAGCCCATTGTGCAACTCTAGTGCGACGTAAATAAAGTATCTACCTAAATACTTGAAATAACTTATCTTTCAGAGCACTTTCATTCAAATTTGCTTTATAAAAAACAGCAAAAATAACAGCTTTATAAAAAAAAATAATGAATGAACAATGGTACTTTCATGAGGAATTAACAGTTTAGCTTAAGCGCAAATCACCTACAACCTTTTTTTCGTACTGCTTACATCACTACAAAATGTTACGTAAGCGCAACGTCCGCGAGAAAATAGATTAAGGTTAATAATAAAGTTAAATCTCTTAATAATTAAGTTAATAATAATAAGTTGAATTTAATAATAAAGTAAAAATAAACACGTGGCATGCGATCCTATTAAATTGCCGTTTTCTTTCTTTCCTTTTTCAGAATAGATAATCAATCGTAAGAATTGTTTAAGCAATAATGTGATGTATCGCAATTTCCTGCGTAAAATCGGCGGAACTGTCAAAAAAACCTTGAAAATCGTCACTACGGGTAATCTACTGCCGTGGATAATTTGACGAAAATATTTTCTAGGCATCAAATATTAGGAATTTCCAACTAAAGACTTTCTTCAGCCATAAAGTGTAAGAGAGCATTCACACTGGATGCGAAATATACGCGAATGTGAATTCGGGGACTTAATGAGAACCTTATTGGTGAAATATATTAATTCACGAAAACCTCGCTATACAGGTTTTTGTTCGCATCTCCGAATTCGCAGACGTGGTTTAATACATCCAGTGAGAATGCCACCTAAACATGATAACGTGTCTGCTCGACCGTTTCTCTGCCGATGCACACAGACTCTATGACGTAGATTCACTCCCCCTTGTGTATTTCCAAAAGTAAGAAAAATGGATTGCGAGGATAGGAGAACTAGCGCATAATCCGCGGATTATACGACGAAACAGCAGCAGCGTCATATAATCGGCAAATATGTGGTATGACGCGGACAATTAATCCGCGTCATACCACAGAAAATTACATAATAAAATTCAAAAATAAGACTTTTTTTTTTTTATAATAGAAACAGAGCTAAAATTACCTGTGGCTTAATGTTTCAGGAGACACTTTCTCAACTTGCCGTAATGAAATATCATTTAAATCATTTGTTGTATTATTGCTGGAAACAAAAATAAATGTGTTCAAGTAAACTATTTTTATGTTTAGAGACATACGTTTAGAGTCATATTATGTTTTAACTAATTTACGTATTTTACAGAAATATTTAAAATTGTAAAATGTGTTGAGCAATAAAACCTATCAAGTTGACCAGCAATCTATGTTAATTTTCACACTCTTAAGAAATTTCCGTAAAGTTCGAAGATTCGGTCGTTAATTTATACGGTTAGCTTCTTTCACAAACTAGTCTAAGGCAAAGTTAAGGCCCGGATTGAAGATATCTTTTACGAGAATAACGTTAATTTACGGTCAGTGGCCATACATTTTATGAGAAAAAATTTACGGTTAGACCTATATTTCTTTTATCATGATAGCTTTACGAGTATAAATTTATTTTTTCGGTAGGTAGTGTTGGAATCCTTTTTGCCGGTAACTAATCGTAATCTAGCGGTGAAGTTTTTTAGAACGTATTATTTAGCACCAATTATGCAAATAAATAAATAAATAAAAATTCCGCAATATTTTTTTTAAAATTGACAACCTATTTGATTTGAGAGTTGACTACTAAAATACTTCAAATTTGACTGGAAGCATTGTTAAAGGCTGATCTGAAAACTTAATGAGTTTAATCTGTGATGAAAGAGACAAAAACTTTTTAAGAAATTTCCCAAGTATTTCAGTGAATGGATGAAATTGCTTTAAAAGATTAGAAGAGTTGTGTTAGTTGTCAATATAGGCACATGCATATGCTAAAAAATTAAAGAATAATTATATGAATAAATAAATAAAATAATAAATAAATAAATATAATAATAAATAAATAAAATAATAAATAAATAAATATAATAAATAAATAAATATAATAATAAATAAATAAAATAATAAATAAAAAAAAAATAAAAAAAGTCATCCATCTTTATATGGTGATCAATAAAAAACAACGTCACAAGTGGTCAACTTTCAAAGGTTTTACTTTTTACTCAATTAAAACGTGAAAATTAGTGAACAACCTTCTTTAATTTCAAGAAAAATTATGTTAAGTGTTCTTTAACATATTTTCAAAACTAAACGAAGGTAACATTTTATGAAATTCACTTTGAAGTTTAGAAAACTTTACTGAAATACATAGTATCGAACATTAACATCAATAAAAAGAAAAAGAGCATTTTTCTCAAAAAGCAAAAACATGACTCGTTCTTACGAGTTAATTGTCATTTTTTAAAGTCTCTGCCTACGTTCAGTGGAATTTTTTTAAAGCTATAATCAATTAAAATACATATGTTTAAAGTGTAAATGACTAATAAGCAAATAAGTTAATAAAATTATGATGGAAAATTATATATATTTCAGTTCGAAAATTATTAAAAATTAAAAGAAAAAATGAAATTCTGCAGAAAATACAAATAATTTAAATAATGTTTATCAGAAACGAGGGTTAATATTTGAATCCTTTATCGTATAAAAGACAAGAAAGTAGGATATGCTTTTAAATACTCCAAAGATGGGGTTAATATTTAAATCATTTTAAGTATAGATGGAAATAAGCAAGTTATGCTTTTAGATACTATAAACATAAGGTAAATATTTAAATGCCTCGTATAGAGGGAAATAAAGTAGGTTCTGCTTTTAAATACTCCAAAGATATTGTTAATATTTGAAAATTTTAACTTACAAATGAAAAAAAAAACGTAAATTATGCTTTTAAAAACTCCCAAAATAGGGTAAATATTTGAATCCTTAATTGTATGCAAGGAAAAAAATAGAAAATTCTGCTTTTAAATATTAAAAAAAAGGGTAAATATTTAAATGATTTAATGTATAGATGGAAAGAAAGTTGGCCATGTTTTTAAGTACTCCAAAGATATTCTTTATATTTGAATACGCTAGCGTATAGATGGGAAAAAATTAAATTATGCTTTTAAATAATTCAAAGATAGGGTAAATATTTGAATCCTTTATTCTATAAAAAGAAAAAAAAAGTTGGTTATATTTTGAACTACTCCAAAGAAGTGCTTCAATTAATTGGGAAAAGTTTTGAGTTTTACAGATGATTCAAGGGTGTACTGTATTAGTGTGTAGAATAATTAAGATAATTACTGTAGTATGAGAGAGTTAGGTGCTTCCACCGCTCTAATTTCTTGCTTCAATCTCATTCCGCCCTAAAATGTAACGAAAAAGTCGTGTTAGAATTTAATATCACCAAAAAATACACAAAAAAACAAGTGTTAATGCTTCAAATTACATAATTACACAAAATGCTTACAAATATTAAATATATAACTTGCAAATTAACTACATCATTTACAATACAAATTATTATATATTGCAATACGAAATTATAAAAAAATAAAAATAAAACATCCAAACATTCACACACAAAAAGATTGTCATCACTTATCATCATTTCATATATTTTTAGAATCCTTTTCATATACACTGGTTATCATAAATTAAGGAAAATTCACAAAAATCGCGATAACTCAAGAAATTACACATGGAATTTTATGAAACTTACCCACAATATACAACACATAGTAAGGTATTAAACAACATAAAAAGAAATTATCAGANAATGCTTTTTGCACCGTTGGTATGAAAAATTGCACAGAAACGAAGAAATTAGATTTTATTAACGAGAAGAGTATTTTAAACCCATATAGATTTTTTACGAAAATTGTCCGCAAAAAAATGACAACTAATATATTTCAGTTCGCGGGCCGGATGCGGCCCCCGGGCCGCCAGTTGGAAACCACTGATGTAGATTCACTTCCACATGTAGATGCTATCGGTGGGAGGATTTTGCGTATTTCCATAATAAATAAAAATAGATTGCCGCGTTAGGATAACCATCACATAATTTGCGGATTATATGGCATAGCAAATAATTCACAGAAAATTGCATGACAGAAATAATAAACTTGTTTTTCATAATAGAGATAGTAAGAAAATTACCTGTGGCTTAATGTTTCAGGAGACACTTTCTCAACTTGCCGTAATGAAATATCATTTAAATCATTTGTTGTATTATTGCTGGAAACAAAAATAAATGTGTTCAAGTAAACTATTTTTATGTTTAGAAACATACGTTTAGAGTCATATTATATTTTAACTAATTTGCGTATTTTACAGAAATATTTAAAATTGTAAAATGTGTTGCGCATTAAAACCCATCAAGTTGACCAGTTATCTATGTTAATTTTCACACTCTTAAGAAATTTCAGTTAAGTTCGAAGATTCGGTCGTTAATTTATACGGACAGCTTCTTTCTTTGAGAAAAAAGACCCGTTAACCATAATTGGAACGAACTTCAGTAAAATGAATATAGTTGTCCGTTAATTTATTCATTCAGCTCACTTCGTACAGAAAAAAGCCTAGTTCCCGTAATTTAATAAACTTCAGCAAAATTAGCAGAGTTGGTCGTTAATTTAAATGTTTATTATAAAAAGTTTCTTGGCTCACTTTGAACACTCTTTTGCATAGGGGTAACAGTATTAGACTACGGACACAGAAGTCCCGAGTTCGAACACAGTCGATGTCAGAGAACATCCCTTTTGACTTGAACTCTCTCTACATTAGTGAACACGCAATTCTCTCACTCTTCGAAAAATCTCAGAACTACCACTATTTCGCCTACTGCCGATCTTGATTCCTCAAACTAGTCTCAAGCAAAGTCAAGTGCCAGATTGAAGATAACTTTTACGAGCATAACATTAATTTACGGTCAGTGGCCATATATTTTACGAGAAAAAACTTACGGGTAGACCTACAGGGGTGATTGTGAGCCCAAGTCAGAATTCCGGAAAATTTCTTGAGTTAAAAAAAAAATACAGTTTAAATTGGAAAATTAGAAAAAAATTTAAACAAGGTTTTTTCCCTTTTTTCAATATTTCTTAGTTTACTTAAAATACATTAAAATTTTTACACATACCTGTGCCATTTACACATACCTATGATGACCTGGAGAAGTAATTAAAATTTACAAATATGTCTTTCTTTCTTGAGTTTATGATTTTAACAACTATTTACTGATAAAAAATTAATATTAATCATGATTATAAGCTTATAAAGTATCTCTCTGGCTCTCCCTTACAAACAAATAAAACAAACTGTGTTTTTAAGTTCCACCTTTGAAAATTTGATTTCCAGAAACTTCTGTGATCAATGATTTTTTGAAACATCTGAACCTTCGATCTCCGGAAATTTACGTATCACTCTTAGCGAAAAATCCGGAATTTTTCCGGATCACAATCAGCCCTGGACCTATATTTCTTTATCATGATAGTTTTACGGGTATAAATTTATTTTTTCGGTCAGTTTGGAATCCTTTTTGTCGGTAACTAATCGTAATCTAGAGGTAAAGTTTTTTCAAACGTATTATTTAGCTCCAAATATGCAAAAAAAAAAAATTTTCAGATGATTCAAGGTTCTACTGTATTAATATATAGAATAATTAAGATAATTACTGTAGTATGAGAGAGTTAGGTGCTTCCACCGCTCTAATTTCTTGCTTCAATCTCATTCCGCCCTAAAATGTAACGAAAAAGTCGTGTTAATAATCAATATTACCAAACAAATACACAAAAAACAAGTGCTAATGTTTCAAATGACATAATTGCACACAATGCTTACAAACATTAAATATATAACTTGCAAATTAAATATATCATTTACAATACAAATTACGGAGTTGAAATTAGAAAAAAAATGAAAATAAAACATCCGAACATTCACACACAAAAAGTCTATCATCCCTTTCTTAATCATATATTTTTTTATCGTATATCATTTATCATAATCATATATTGTTTCACAAATTGAGAGTAACACGTTAGAAATGTTTTTAAGTTTTTGATTAATTTTAATAAGGTATAAAAAGGATGATATTTGATTTGTTTAAGTTAATACTCGTCAAATTTAAAAAGTTCTTTTTCTAAACTTAAAAGTTAAAACCTAATTAGCATATGCATATATTTTTTATTTCATTTTTGAAAAGAACTATAAAAATCTGTGATGACTGTTGCACACTCTATATGCGAAGAAATTTTTTTTTTACAAATGTTACAGATTACGGCAAAAAGTTTCCAAATATAAAATTTATTAACAAATACATGAACCAAAACTGCAACACTTTTTTTAAAGGTGAAATTGTTCTTCTCAAATATAGAAAACAAAAACAAATAACAGACAAGCTTATAGAAAATAAGGAAAAAATTTTAATGTGTTCAACAACAGATTTTTTTTAATTTAACTAGACTTGCCTCAAGTAAGAAAGATGAGTAAATTATTCATTACATTTTAATATCCTTTAGAACCTTTGTTAACGAAGTTTACACTACTCATTATCTTAATCATTTAATATTTTATTACTTAATGCGAATAAAAATAATGCAACAAAACAGGTAAAGTAAATTTTATTTTGAAACTGAAAAGAGGGATCTATTAGGCTATTAGGTTAAAGTAAACGTTTATTTTTAGTTAAACACGATTGCTTTAAACGCCATTAAGCAACTTCTCAAAATAGAATATCTTATTTTAGAAGCACTAGACTAAACTATGCATGTTAAAGTTATTTAAAACTTTGAAGTTAAATTAAAGAACCACTTAACTTTGAACTATTAACTCATTCCAATAAAAAGTAGTTTTCATTAAGTCTTCAAAATATAATTAACTTATATTAGTCATTTTGTTAAAAGAATGCTTCACTTATATTGATACAATATTTCTTATGAGATAACTGAAGTAATTCCAATATAATTTAACTATGTCTTTAGTTATTAATTATCAATCTTCATTTCATAGCAATGCAATCTAGCTCATAGTTATTAATTGGAAGAAAAAAAATTTTAAACCTGTTTTAGTACTAAATGTATAAAACATTTCAGTATCAATTTTTTTGCTGCAACTATTAAAATTATTATTTATCTTCAGTTTATAGGTATGCAATATGTTCTCTACTATTCTACAATGGTTCTATATTTAAGTTTTAATATTCAAAACTAAATGAGAAAGAATTTTTGATAACTATCACGTGTTTTTACCCTCTATTGAATTTGTCATTAGTTTATAAATGCTGCAATTATCGTTCATCACATTGTTTTATTTTCATGCTTAAATATTTAGTGAAAAGTGAAAAAAAAATTAAACACTATCGAATGCCTCAATTACTAACGCTAGTATTAAATATTGATTAATATTAAATAAGTTTCTATGAATTAAATTTAAAGGTAGTGAGATACTTAAAAAAAGGAAAAGCATAGAAAGAAAGAATCACATATTGCTAACATTAACACCACACACCATTTTATTATTTTATACAAACCACCCTTTAAAAGTCAATGCTTTATCTGTTGGTTTCAAGTACTTTGATTCTTTTAAATCCGAACATGGATAATTCGAACTAAAGTTAATTTCCTTAGATTTCCTATTCCACTAATGTTAAAAGTTTTATCTTCGTTTGCGTTCTAATCGTTTGAGTTATCTTTTAGTTAATTCGAAGTTCATTGCAGCAAAAATCAAACTTTAACCCATTTTCTTCAATTGTTATAAGTCTTTTATTTCCAATTTTTTTGGAATATGTAAATTGTGTGTTTATAAATTTCCGATTCATAATAAAAGTAATAATATTTACGGAGTTGTAGATCAATATTAAAATTTAAAAATATTTTCAGGTACGTTTATTTTTTGCTGAATATTTTATTCAATTTGATTCTACTTAATAATATATATTGTTATTTCCTTTAATAAGTTTTTAATTTTAAAATTTTTAGGTAATTCGAGTTTTAGTTAATTCAAACATTTTCCCCTCTCCTTTGATGTTGAATTAAAAAGAGCCTATTTACAAACAAAAAATTATCTTTCAAAATTAATAGCTATAAACAATAATTTAAAGGTTGCTAACAACATATTTCTTGAGTTTTAATTGTTGTAAATATTAGACTGATACAAATAATATTCAATTTTCATTACTAAACACTCTTAAGCCGCAATTTTTTTTAAAATTTATATTCTAAAAATTCAGGTAATTTTCTGTGAAAGATAAGTGTCCAATGATTTAAAGTATTCAGTGTAGTAAATATTTAATATAATATAGTTAATTGTTTGCTGATTCATCAGTTTAATACTGGTTATGAAGCTGTTTTCATCTAAGACAAGTTCCATATTTAACTACTCAAGAGTTGATGTCCAGACATTTTGTCGCCACGGTATTATTAATGATCATACTGCACGCCACTCCTTCACTCTTTGGTCAACAACATTAGAACAGGAATGTTCCGTGAAGATTAATTGTTAATTCATTGATTTTGCAAAGAAAATTAATTTGTGGATAAAGATGGGTTTTTTCCCATTACGTTACATTTTGCGTAAATTTTCGACGAAGAATATACAATTTAAAGACATTATTACACATAAGTGGTAATTATTTTTACTTCAGTTAAAACTACATTCACATAAATTTTTTTAATTTTCCTTATTTCAGACACTTAAAAGGAAACGTACAAAACGCGAAAATATAATTTGCGCAAGTTGTATCACTTCCATTAATTACTTTCCAGCTAATAAGAAAATGTTTTTTACTATAAAACGGATTGTTTTTTATTTCAAAACGGATAATTTTTCATCATAAAACGTAGTACAAAATAAAAATAGTCATTTTTCTTGGAGAGTATTTAGATTTATGTTTCTTTTTTTCTTTCGAAGGTATTCAAAAACTGAAGTGGCAAATACAAAATCTAGAAATAAATTAAAATAATATGAAATTAATCATACATAAATTTTTTTTAAATTTAAAAAATTCAAAATTTTTAAATTTTTTTTTGATAAACAATAAAAAGCATTATCTTGAAAAGTAAGTCATTAGCTTATTGCAGTTTTAGTAGAGTAAATTAAGTAGTAGGCAGTAGTAGAAATTAATAAGTAGTAGTATAATTTAAATCAAACAATGTTTTGATGGTATATATTTCAAATTATTTTCCTCCATTACCCCCAGTTTTATCAGTGACCACAAAACTAATTTAAAATTTAAAGCAATCGAAAGAATTATTACAAAACTCTAATATTCCTCTATTTTGTATCGTTATTTTATCTAACTAAATGAGTTAATTGTTATGCTTAGAATTACATTTTTAATTCTTTTACCTTCAAATGTCTCTAATTGCAAGCAATTAAATACAATATTTTTAATCTATTTTGAAAAAGCAGAAATAAACAATTGATAAATTAATTATTACATTGCGAATTAAAATTTTATTATTTTACCTTTAAATACCAACACCGTATTTAAATACCAACATAGAATTATACCGTTTAAGTAAGTAAAAATAAACAATTGACAAATTTATTATTTTGCGTGAAATTAAAATCTTAATTATCTTATCTTTATATGTCTCTAGTTATTTGCAATTAAATAAAAAAAATATTGCTTGAAGAAAAAGTTTATAATTGTTTCAATTTGAGAATTAAATTTTAATTACTTTATCTTGAAATGTCACAAATAACGAGCAATTAAATATTTTGTTTCAATCGATGAAAGCAAAATTTAACATTAAATAAACATAAGAATTAGATTTATCTTATTATATAGTTAGGAAGTAATGAATATAATGAATGAATGAATGATATCAAAGTAATGAATGAATGAATGAATGAATGGAAGTAATGAATGAATAATATCAATGATAAATAAAAAAAAATCCTAAAAATATCTTAAGTATCTTAAGTAAGCCTTTAAATTCTACAAATCACCAGAATTTAAAAATAAATTGCTATAAAACCATAATTGTAAAAAAATGCATTTTTTAACTTATATTTAAGAGTGGAATTAGAATTTTCAATGAAATTTTCTTATTAATTTATGTAATTGAATTTATAAATGAATTTGTGAATGAATAATTGAATTTATAATTGAATTTGTTTTATAGGTCAGAGACGGAAATATTATGAGGAGGAATCAAAAGAAAAGCTAGTGTAGGAATGGCAGAATGATACCTGTAAGCCTGTAACAGGTTTTTTGGATACACCTGAGAATCTTGTACAGAAAGTAATTTACAGGGGTTACTATGCTTTCCTATTCGCATAAACTTAGAAATCAAAGATGAAATAATGAAAATAAATTTGTGAAAATTTACTATACGATTTTAAATTTCGATACCAAATCGTTAATATAAATTGAAATTCACATTCCGCCTGACTATTTATTACAATAAAGGAAACTAAAGCAAGAAATAAATTACATTTCGGTAGTGTTTTTTTTCACGTACAATTATACATTCACGCCATTAGACATCACGCGCAATTTTATATTCAATTTGAATAAAGTAAAAGAAGTACTAAGAAAAATAATTCCTTTCGATTTTAAGCAAATTTTCATTCATCGGTACACAATTCTCTCTATCATGAGATTGTTTTTTTTATTTTCTGGAAGAAATTGTTCCTAAATTTAGAAATTTTAAGTTTTTCTAAATTTAGGAACAATTGACTATCATAAGACGTAGGAGATAACTCAGCATGGTCACAAAAAGTAGGTGTTTCAAAAACTATATCTACAATAATGTAAATATAACTCTGTTATTATTGTAATGTTTACTTGATTGTATTTTAAAATGTATTTTATAAAAAATAAGGTAAAAATAAAAAAATAAGCTTTTTTTTTTTGAAAATAAAAATAAATGGATACTAGCAAGTGACGTCATCGTAGGTAAATCGCTGCATTTGTCGATTTCCTAGCCAATCGGATTTGACACACTCGTGTGATGTTATTTACATGTATCCAATTAAATCTAATTTAAATCACATAGTTAGGCATAATCACTTCCTTTCTTCTCGAGTTGCAAGTATCTAATTAAGTAATCTATAGTAGCGACAATGGTTCTTATTTTAATTTCAATAAGAATTAAAAATAAAAAGTTGTTTTGGAAAGAATTTTTCCTCTTTTAAAATTTACATTCAATTAGTTTTTTATTTAATGACTTTTATTTTAAAACTTTAGTTCTCCTTTTTAAAACATTAAATTGAAGTTTTTTAAGCTTTCAATTAACTGTACTTTGATTAACTGACTTTAAATTGCTTGATTTTATTCTAGAAACAAAAGTTTTTTTTTTTGTATGAATTTATGACTATACCTAACGATATAATAAATGAAAACATAAAGAACATTTAAAAAAATATAAAAATATTTCTGCCCAGTTCGTCAGTTTTACTTCGTCTAAAACTATTTTATATTTAAAGTAATTTTAAGGACAATTTAAATTAACTTATTTTTAAAGATGCCCCAAATATTACAGGATAGAGTTTAAGAAACTAATTAATACTTAATATTAAAAGCTGAATAATTTAAAAGCCACCATTACAAAACATTTTTGTTTAGTTTCTATCATCTTCTTCATAATTTTTATAAGATGCAATGCAATCTATAAAAAATTACAGTAAAACAAAGTTAAAAATTTTCAATTTAACGAATGCAAACGATTTGTAAATGAAATGAATATTACCTAATGAAAAATCGATTAAAAAATAAGAACATAGTTTGACTGATCAAGAAAAAAGGAATAACTAAATATAATTTATTCCAAATATCTTACTCGAAACATGATTTCTTATATTTTGAAATGATTTTTTCAACTTTTTTCATTACATCTTAAATAGGTAAATATTTATATTTCATCGCACTATTTTGGCAACAGGAATATCGATTAGTTTTAGAGATCCATATAAGGAAGTGTCATTAACTTTGAATGCAATTTTCGGCAAACACTTAAGCAGTAAAATTTGATTGATAGAACCAAGTTTTAATAATTTGTTTTAGGTTAAAAATTTATTATTGATTATTGAAGTATTTTTTTTTTTAAATATAATTTATTATTGAAAATGAAAGGAAAATTTTAACACTATTTTTTTGCTCAACAAAATTTATTTACAGCATTTTAAAAATAAAATTATTAAAAATTTTTAAACTTTAAAAACCTAAAAAGAAGTTAAAATATTAACTTATTACGTGGAATTATTGTCAATAAAACTTACTGCGGTTCCAACGCTCCATGGCGTAAGCAACCGTCTCTCAAACTGCACAGCCAGTCTACGATTAGAATAATTCCGTTGTATAGTGTAGATTGGGGTACAATGTACCCCTTACTAGAAACTAATGGGAGTGGTTTACAAGATGCTGCATTCAGATGATAAAAATATTATTCTTAGCAATGGCGCCCTTTCGATGCTGCAGACATCATTGCCTGTTCCTCATCATAAGGGTGGAGAATTGATGTGCGCATGCGTGCAAGGGATTAAGAGGGTGTTTTTTTTCTCCTTCCCGTCGGCTCCTGTTTTCTCTCTCGCAGACGATTGAGAGGATTCTAAATATCGTAAAAACGGTTACTACTAGAAGTTCCTATTTATTCGAGTCTAGTTGAGGAAAAAAGTTTACGAGGGTTTCGTTAGATATTAAGGTTTTACTATTGGTGAATGGTCTAAAAAACGATTCTATAGAATTTTTTTTCCTTCTGAATCTTATTAAAAATAAATCTAGAAAACTATTACCGAAACTAAAATATAAATTAAAGAAATAAAAAAATGAGGCTCCGAAGAAAATAAATAAATAAACTGTATGAATAGAGGTTCTTTTTATTGAGGAAAAATAATTCTTGGTGATCACTATTCACAAATTGATGGAAAATGTTTGATCAATTTTGACTAATTGTTGAGAAATAAATAAATCAATAAATAAGATAAGAAAAAGTTAAATAAATTGTATGTATGAAAGTTCTTTTTATTACTGAAAAATAATTTTTGTTGATCGTTATTCACAAACTGAATTGAAATTTTTTTGACAAACCCTAATTCTGTAAGAAATAAAGCAGAATAAATTCAGAAATAAGGTAAGAAAAAATGAAATAATTGTATGTATAGAGGTTCTTTTTATTGATTAAAAATAATTCTTTATCGATCACTATTCACAAATTAAAGAAAACTTATTTGATACATTTTAACAAACCCTTGTTCTTTAAGGGTCAATGGCAGTATAAACTAAGAAATAGGCTAAGTATGACCTGCATGTATAAATGCTCTTTTCATTGATGGAAAAAAAATCTTGTTAATCACTATGCACAAATTGAATGAAAAGTTTTTGATAAATTTTGACAAACCCTTATTTGATAAGAAATAAGGCAAAATAAATTAAGAAATAAGTTAAGAAAAAGTTAAATTCATTGTACGAATGAAAGTTCTATTTTTCTGCTGAAAAATAATTCTTGTTGATCACTATTTACAAATGGAATGAAAATTTTATTGATAAATTTTGACAAGCCCTTATTTGATAAGAAATAAGGCAAAATAAATTAAGAAATTAGTTAAGAAAAAGTTAAATAAATTGTACGTATGAGGGCTCTATTTTTCTGCTGAAAAATAATTCTTGTTGAGCACTATTTACAAATGGAATGAAAATTTCTTGATAAATTTTGATAAGCTCTTATTTGATAAGAAATAAGGCAAAATAAATTAAGAAATTAGTTAAGAAAAAGTTGAATAAATTGTACGTATGAGGGTTCTATTTTTCTGCCAAAAAATAATTCTTGTTGAGCACTATTTACAAATGGAATGAAAATTTTTTGATAAATTTTGACACGCCCTTATTTGACAAGAAATAAGGCAAAATAAATTAAGAAATTGGTTAAGAAAAAGTTGAATAATTTGTATGTATGAAGGATCTTTTTATTCATGAAAAATGATTCTTGTTGATCATTATTCACAAATTAAATTAAAATTTTATGATACATTTTGTGAAACGCTTGTCTTTAAGAAGGTAGAATAAATTGGGATATAGTATGAAAAAGTTAAATAAATTGCATGTATGAAGGCTCTTTTTATTGATGAAAAATAATTCTTGTTGATCACTACTTACAAATCAAATGAAAAGTTTTTGACAAACCTTAATTCCTTAAGATATGAATGTGAATAAATATTGAAATATGGTAAGAAAAAACTTAATAACCTATGTGTATGATGTTTCTTTTTATTTACAAAAAATAATTCTTTTTGATCACTAATCACAAATTGAATGAATTTTTTTAAAATAAATTTTGTCAAAACCTTATTCTTTAAGAAATAAAGCTAAATAAATTTAGAAATGCGGTAGGAAAAAATGAAATAAACTGCATAATTGAAAATTCATTTAATTGATAAAAAATAATTCTTTTTTATCACAATTCACAAATAAAATGAAATTTTTTTGAAAAATTTGGATTAAACCTTATTTTTTAAGAGTAAGAGCTAAGGAATGCTTTATTTAAATGTAACATAAATACACAAAGACTTATTTAAAATCAGAGTTTTTCACTTATTGCGTCTCACTTATTGCATTTAGTTTCGCGTAAAATTTTCTATTTCAATACGCTTTCAAAATTAATTTTTATGGTTCTTTTGTGCTATTCCATGTTTTTGATATGTTGTTGATTTCTACATACAGGTTTAATGCGTTGTAGTTTTAATGCGAACGAGTAATAATGCAAAATTTAATAATCTTATTTATTTTATTGATATTTGAATAATCAACAGTGTGTATGATAACTAAAACTATTTGAAGAAAACAGTTCGTCCAATGACAAACAGTCACGTTCAAAATTCGGAATGCAAGCTATTATCTATTTTTTTGTGCAAATATCTTGTCCTAACTCGACAATCTAAGTTAATTTTATAATTCTGAAAACTGCTTGTACTTTAATTCTCTAAAGTCGAATGAATATAAATTTATGTAAATAAAAGGTGAAAATATTATGGTGAGGAACGCAAAAACATGCTTTCAGTCTCCTAACTTTACTATTCATTTTAAAATTCATAAAATATTCAGTACAATTTCAAAACAAAATGTTCACATTGAAATTTGTTCAATCTCAAACTATATAATACACTTAAATGTTAAATTTACTAAAAATTTACTTCCATAAATTGTTCAAATTGTTTTTTTCCTCACACAATTATCATTTATATCATACTAATAATAATAGCGGTATTTTCACTAAATTATACTAATTTTTTTTTAAAATTTGATTGTAAAATTCAGACAAGCTTTTTTTCACTTTCTATTAATGATCTATAAATGAAAATTAATATTTATTTATGGAGCATTATTCACAAATACCCATTAAATATTATTGTACTGGTAGTGTTCTTTCAATTTAACTTTCGATGAAACATAATGCACAAATGAATTTGGAAGACATCACAAGCAGGCTATGATGCTATCCAAAAAAATTACAACTAGCGATATTTAACACACAATTATAGCCAAATAAAGAATATTACTCAAAACCTGGGATACCTTATACTTTGTTTATGTTGTGATATTAATTTTCTGAAATTTGTGTTCGGCTTACGACTTTGTTGCACAAGATTTTATAACCGATTTTAGACACTTACGTATCGCTCATTTCAAATCTGTATTCGGTTTCTCTCTCCAAACTATAGTTTTCGTAATGTAAATCTCCTAAGTTCCAGCTTTTTCAAATGACATTTTTAGTATATATATATACATATATATATATATGTCATTACATATATATATATATATATATATATACATACATGCACTCTCTACATGCACGCCTACTCTCATAACTCGGGCTCACTACATTTTTATTCATATTAAGTTCTATCATAAAATAACAATGAGGTGCTTCCCCTCATACATTGCTTTTCCTGTAAAAAGCGCGCATGAAAATGACAAATTTGAAAAATAAATTTCCTTATCTGTTTTTATAATAAGTCGTGAAAAACAAGAATGTGCATGATTTATTCTCTGTAAGTTCTGCACAACTACAAATATTCACCTCAGCTGTATTAATTTTTGTCCAATTCAGAAAAGAAAGGGTAGCAGCATCATAACAACAATAAACATTCCATTAAAAAGCATTTTGACAAGTCTGAGTATCACTTCCATTTTATTTATTCATTCATGCATAATAAATCTCCAAGCTTTTGTGTTTGGAAGGTTTATAAGCCCTTGTCAAATCGAAAAACAGCTAGAATATATTACAGAAGGACATCACAACGGAAAAAAAAAGAATCATTCATCCAAATTTGAGAGGAAAAATCGAAACCGTTACCTCTTTGCCTTTGTTTTATTCATAGATTTATTCTAATATATATTTGCAGATTTGGGTCCTTAACACAAAGATGTTCGTCAAATTGAAGAACAGACAGCACAAATTGACAACTAAGCATATTTTCATTTTGTGGTGTACGAAGTCATATGTTTACCAAGTTTATAGCCGAAACAAATATTTGCCTTATTTTCATCCAAAATCTAAACAAATAACGGTTTTGAATTCTGCTTGTCCCTTAAACCTCGTTCCTGGCTTCGGTGATCACCTCAAGATGAAGCAAAGGTTTACATTAAAACCGAGACACTTTAGAGTTCTTTTCTCCATTCTTCTCTAGTACAGCACAAAAATACAACCAGCGAGATTCGAACCCGTTACCTCCACGGTTTGTATGTTTGCCGAAAGAACAATAGACATTTGGTGGATTCACGCTATATTGATAAAAAAAAACTATCTCATATGGAAAGTTAAGTAGATCCCATAGATGTCTAGAAATATCTACTGAATAATTTTAGTTGATTCCATAGATGTGTAAAATTATCTATTGAATAATTATTATAAAAAAATCTAATTTACAAACACGTAAAATCGAATGCAAAGGTATCGTTTACATCACAGTTAATAAAATAAGATAAACTAGCCGCATTTGGAGACCAGCTTGATCACCTTTCAAAGCTATCTTGTACAACATATAAACTTTATCTGTAACCAAGCCGAATGCACAGCACAACTCTGCAGTTAAATAATCTAATTCTTCTACACTTTCTGCTCATTCAGGTTCCAGACTCCGAAGAGGAAAGACGTCTCCAGATTAGCTCCTGATAAGAGGATTCTCTCTTGATAAGAAGATGCCTTCCGGTGGAAGAGGTAGCGGTCACCTTCGGTGCTCTTCAGTCGCAGGGTCCGAGAACTGCGGGGGCTTGACCCCCGGGTTATCGGGCATCCGGACTGCTGAGCCAGTTTCAGAGTTGAGTGATTCACTCCAGCCCTTTTTAGGGCTCTCGGAAAGGAATATCACAAACGCAGCCACAGGGCTACTGGAACAGGAGTTAATGGAGTATCCTATGGGAGAAACATCTAATTCCAACACGGTTAGGCAGGTAGGGACCCCCCCTGT